CCATTTGTTGAAAAGATTGTCCTTCCCCCCATTGAATTACTGTATTATTTTGCTAGAGCTGCCACAACAATGTACCACACACTGGGTGGCTTAAGCAACAGAAATTTATTTTCTCACAGTTCTGGAGCCTTGAAGTCCAAGATCAAGGTGTCCACAGGGCCGTGATCCCAGTGAAGGCTCTCCCTGTGTCTTTTGGCTTTCTGTGGCCCCAGGCATCCTTTGACTTGTGGTTGAATGAATGAGTAAACAAGTTTCCAGTGATTAGGTGGCTTAAATCAAACTACCGACACATACAAACAGATGCATGCACAGTACTGCTCATGGAAGCATTGTTTCATACAGTGAAAAGTGGGAATAGTGTGGGGAGAAATACCTACTAATAGAGGATTGGCTATGTAAATTATAGTACATTTATACAGTGGGATACTATACAGCCATAACAGATGGTGATACAGATTTGTAGTCATTGAAAGGACAAGTTATCCAGGATATGATGTAAAGTAACAAATAATCCCCAGGGCACAATTTACTAGTATTGAATGGGTTGGACATCTTGTCTCCAAAAGTAAAATTATAGTTCCATAACTTGCATGTATCTATGTAAAGCTTGGTATCCCAAACTTGTCAAAAATGTTAGAAATGATTTTATCTACAAGGTGGCATTTTAAGAAATACTTTTTTTCTTTGTAGTTTTTGTGTTCTTTAACTACTTTATGGTGAGCATGTAATCATTTCATATTGACAGTTAGTTACATATAAATTGGTCACTGGAAACTCATTCACTTATTCATTCAACACAAATTGAACTTCTACTCTGTTCCAAGCACTTCTAGAGCCTAAAGTATGCAATTGTATTTCTTTCTTACATGTTATATGCAATCTTCTTCCAGAACTGACCACACCATTTACTTCTCACTTGGAGTTGATAAGAATGACTTGATGAAATAAGATAGCTTGTATGGAATGTTCCAGAATGCCTGGCCCTTGGGTTTACTGAACCCCCTTCTCCTCTACAGAGTGCCATTTTTGCTGCACCCACAGTTGACTAACTGTATCACAATGAAATCCAACAAGGGTCTATTATCATTAACCATCACCATTGAACCAACGCTTCTCTTGACACTCCTGCCTACCAGATGCTCTTTGAGAGTGGAGGCCAGTGGTAGATGCTCAGTGAATATAAGTAAATTGACTTTCCTTAGCAGGTTTCTGCATACACTGTCCAAACAGATGTCATTTTCCAATGAGGAATCCTAGAGACCACAGGAGGCATAGCATTCAGAACAATGGGCCCCATTCCAAGTGCTGCCTCCTCTTGGCTGATACAGTACTTCTCAAAATTTTCCACAGGAGAGTGAATTGTGTCAAGGGGATCTGGTGGCATAGTCCTGTGTAGTTATTAAAATCATAAAATGTCTTTGAAGTTGGCTATATTATTTTAAAAATTTGAATGTTGCATTCTATTCTACACCTTTTTAAAAATGTATTTTATAAAGAGCATCTTTAATAAGAAACATTTTTCTTTTCTTAAGTAAAATTGAGTATTGAGGAAGGCAGACCTTGTTTATCTAGCTTTGTATCCTCCCTTGTATACCCCAGGTTTCTGGGAACCCCAATTTGAAAAGTGCAGGCTCTACTATTTTTTTGTTCTTATCTACACTGAAATAAGTACACAATTTTTCGACTTAGCTTTTCACTAGCTTTAAGTTACAGTGCAGAGCAGGGGCCCCATGCTGCCGTGCAGATAGAGTGGAGGAGGAAGCTGTATTAGGATGTTTGCCGCAATTAACAGAAATTTACTTGGGCTACAGACATTGAAAGGAAAAATACAATCTGGAGCAGACTTTATTCTAAGGATATGGGGCGTTTCCGAGCCCAGGGAACAGACACCAGAAGGTTGGCTGGATTCAGTCTCTGCTTATTTCCTTCTCTCCACAGACTGGCACCCACAATCCTCTGCATACATGAGGAGAAATGTGGTCACCCTGACTTGAACTTCCAGACGTGTAAGAGACTGACATGGTCCAGGAAAAGTGGCGTTTGCAGAACAAGCATGGCCTCCTGGGGCCCATCCACCAGTTCTTCCCTAGAGAACAAGGAAGTATACGTTGGACTGACACCACTAAGGGCCGAATCAGTGGCAAAAGGCTGTCAATGAAATGAGGTTCTATGTGAGTAGAGCAGAGATAACCAGAGATGACTGGTTGGAGGATCTTTCTGTACACTGCTTTGAAAACAAGGGTCCAGTCTAATCTGGTTGTACATACCTATGGCTTGTAAACATGTATTAGTGTAACTACGACCGACCTCTTAAAATAAATTACAAACTGAATTTTTGTAATAAAGATAAAAATCTTGACTCCTTTTATTATCCCTCCTGAATATTTCATGTAGTTTTAAAAATCTAGACACAACTTAGGGCCTGTTAAAAATAACTGAGGCAAGTCCTAACGAGAGAATTCCCAGGGAACTCTGATGGACTAATTGACAAACACCTGGTATTGCACACAAAGGGGAACATGTATCAGGCAGCAGCTATGACCCCATGTTGGCTTTGTTGTGTGTATCGAGGTACTGCTTGCTCTGTCACTCTGCATCTAGTATATAAGTGGTGGAACAAAAATGGGTCAACATTAACAAATACTATCACCCTCCCAAATCCTTCGATGGTTCCAAACTCCTTTATATGGTATATTGAGCCCTTCATGACATCACTTCCTGACTCCTTCATACAGCTCCCCCTACACCCCTTGACTAATTGTTTTCCAATATTAAGTCATGGCCTATTCGTGGGGTTACGAAATCAGTTTGGTGGGTTGCCACCAGTGTTTTCAGAGTGGAGGATAATAAAACAGAATGTGTGTGGGACACATTGCATCATTCTGTGCAATACAAGTTTCTGATATATGTCCGTGTGTGTATATACGTACCAGATCATGTGGTTAGATTCTATTTTTTCTATAGGTTATGATCCCAGTGTCTGAAAGCTACTGCTCCAGGTGTGGCCTCTGCAGTCTTGCTGCCCGCTCTTTCAGAACTGCATGCCTCTGCACACGGGAAGTATTTTTCCTTGTCGGGCTGGCAAACATGGACTTTTTTTGAGTCCACTCAAACATCACTTCTGATGCAAACTTTTGGCTCATCTCCAGGTCATCAGCAATTGGTCACACAAACCTTTCCACAGGTTCCACCTGTAAGCGTCAGAAAGGCCTGCCCGTGCCTCACTCATTTTCAGTTCTTCAGTGCTTAGCACGGTCAACTCATAAGAGCTTATTGAATAGCTGTGACTGAAGCTCTAAGCACAAGGAACTGCTATTTACTTTTTAAAAGCATCTGAAGCCTGAAAAGGAGTCTCTTTGAAGTTTAAAACATATTCTGCTGAAACTTATTTTATTAAATGTTACTTTACTGACTGCGATTATATTCATTTTACATTATAATAAAAAATAGGATAGTAACCCATCTCCAAGAAAGCTGTTTAAATCGCTGTTTTTATTATTTTTATTTGCTACCAATCTTCTTGTAAGAAATACAGAAAGCATGACAAGTATACAAAGCATATTTTTGCTTCCATTGAGCTTGTGTATAAGAGAAAACAATGACATTTCAACACCAATTCTTAATGAACAATAAATTTTCCATTATCTGAAAATAAATACCCAAAATTGCATTCTAGCACCCAGTAAGACATCCAGTTTCCAAAGGATTATTGATCTGCAACCCTCTGAATTTTCTGACATGTTAGCTTCGCCACTGCAGTGTTCACTACTGGCAGTTCTCTCTCCAAGTAGTCCTTAAGAGTAAGGCGCATGCTAGAATGGCTACCTCTGACCTCAGAAACCCGAGGTCATAAAACATTCTTTACTTGAGCTCTTAAAAACAGATGGCTAGTGATGGGGTATTTAATGTAAGTTTTGGTGGCCACTGGCTTGCATAGTTCATCTATACAAACACCTACTTTTTTATTTTCTTCTTCAGGTCTAGATCAACTGACCTGCATTTTCATTTACCTATAGGAAGGAAGCAAGATTATTCAGCTCAGGGTACTATGAAGAGGATAACTTTACAGATAAGCTTTCTTACTTTCTTTTTTTTTTTTTTTCCTCCTCAGGAGGGTTTTCTTTATGGAAAGGAGGGATGGTCACTAGAGTGAGACAGTCCTCCCCATTCTGTTCCTGTCTACACCGGAGGCCGTTTTTCTTTAAGGGTAAATGATCCTGATATGTAGGGAGATTCCCTGCTTTCAGAGAGCTGCACATACCCCTCCCCCACTTTTGGAGAGCACAGGGTTTATGTACCCTGTGAGGAAGGGTACCCAGCCGAACCTGCCAGGCCAGTGTGGTAACTCTCAACCTTGTGTACAGAGAAAAGAGCAGAGCCTTATCTAACATCAAGCCATCTGCCAACATTCTTGTAAGACTATGTTCCAGACAGTAAATTTCCACACTGCTTCTCTGACCTGCTGAACCCAAAGCACCAAACCAGAGCATTCTGTAGCGACATGAGCAAACGGAATGAGAGTAATTTTGCACCTTTAAGAAACATGCACCCTTATAAGTCTGTACCCTGATATTAAAATAGCGGAATGAGTTTCAAGTATGAAGAAATACAGTAAAAGGATAGCCTGTAAATGGACAGAAAACAGCAGCCTGAAATGTGGTTTGTATTCTTGGTTAGTTTTTCTCTTTGTATCACAGCCCAAACTGAATGCTCTGTAGAATGACGTGGCTTAAAAATCAAGGTATATACAAAGATACTAGAGGGCATTTGGGATTGGTTTTGTGAGCACTCTGTGCCCAGCACCAGGAACCTTCTCTTGATGACTGTGGTCAGCTGAAAGTCCGGTAAGGACGGTGGCCAAGCCTGAGCACACCCGTGATGCTGAAAGTATCTCTCATCATGTCCCTGATGCCCAAAGAACAGCAGAGGAGGATGGAGAGCACCACGTGGACTGGCCAGGATGAGGGCAGGGAGCACCTCAGAGGGAAGGAGGAAGAGATGCAGGGGATGGGCGAGCATTAGCTCTCCTGGGCTGGCTCACACAGCCTAGATTAGTATCTGACATGCACATGCACAGTCTCTACATCTCCAGAACTGTGATTTCAAAAATAGAAACCAACAAAGCAAATGTCCAAATTAAGATTTTTTCTACTCTTAGAACATTTCCTAGTCTAAGTAAAAAAAAAAAAAAAAAGCCCACTGGGTGTGACATCCTTGCTGAAACCTAGAAGAACGTTTTCACTAGGCCCTATGGGAATGCAGAAACACGACTACATTTCACACATCTCAGAAATGATAATCCTGCAAGACCCTCTAGTTCTAACCTGCCATCTACGGGCACCGATACTGTGCTTTTCTTAACACACCCTGCTCTGCTAGACCAAACACTTGCCATTTAGCCTTCAGATCAAAACCTAAAACACCAGAAATGCAACAAGCTTTTGAGGTTGTTGGGAATTGCTGGTTATTAAGATCCCACTGTTGACTACTGTACACGCAGTCCTTGTTTTTACTACCAGACTGGATTGCTTCTGCACAAAACCAAGTCGTGTGAAGCACGGAAACTTGGACTTCTCCATCTAGCACATTCTGGAAGCTTCAAGGCACAAGCTGACAGTTCTGCTTCTACAGAAAACTCTCACACTGCTCTCCTTGCACCAAAACTACCTGTTCCCACTACTGCACACAATGCCTATGAGGGCTCTAGATCGCACCTGGAGGCTCTTCTCTAGGCCAGACAAGAGGCTCTGCACTGGCACCCATGGTCTCGGCCTGGCATCAACTCCAAGGGCCATCTGGCAGAGTCCCTAAATTAAGGCAGTATCTGATGCTTTCCTGTCTGTAGTTTTTACTGTTGCTATATTTTCACACTATATTATTATATGCATATTTGACAAAAGAACAACTACAAATTCCTTTGCCTTAATTCCTTACATAATGATAATTAAAACATCTAGACACAAAAACACTATAGCTATAGACTTAAATTCTACTGTCATGTTAAAATGCATGCAGCTTACTCGGGGGCTTATTCTAATCTTTACTTTCTTAGCTCCGTCAAGACCATGATCATAAAGGTTAAATGCATACCCTAATGCGGTCTGCCTTCAGTTGAACTTTCACAGGACTAGTGTGATGCAGCAATAAATAATATAAATGAATAATAATAGAAATAATTTATGCAAAAGTAGAAAAACTTGAAATAGATATTTTCCACCTTGTTAAGTGCTGATCCTAGGGGCAGTTGATGCTACTCACTCCATGTACTAATGTATTTATCATTTGTCATACAAAATAAATGAATACAAATAAGTGAGGAACTATAACAGTCATGTGTACATTGTTGCAAACACAGGACCAAAATGAGAAGATATATAATGCACTTGGGGGGTGTTCAATAAATGTATTATTGCTGAAATCTATTTTCATTATTCAGAGACTTCAAGGCCAAGTTCAGAGTTGCTGGTGAGCATAGAACTATTGCTAGCTAATACATGTTATAGCACTTCATAAAACTTAAAATCAGAAACTTTCAAGTGAGGGTATACAGGGTATCTGCAGGACTGTCACCTAAGCACATCAACGGAATTTGGCTAGAAACCACAGAGAGCTAGAACTTAACTGTGTGGCTCTACCAATATGCTTGCTGATTAGTGCTACAGTCATAGTTCTTGGTAGTAATATTATAGTTATGTGCCCCCTTTAAGAAAAACCTACATTTGACAATCCAAACACCTAAAATAAAGGATTATTTGCTTAACAAAACAATTCACACAAAAGTTCCTCTAACCAGGAAATTCCCCTACTACACCAGATACTTTGCTTACATATCTTTAATTACTTGACAAAAAAAAAGACAAAAAATTGGAACAAGAGTTAGGAGCTTTTGGCAACTGAGGATGAAGCAGAAAATAAACAAGTTACACAACAAAACCCTTCCAGGCATATCTTTTGCCATCATATATGTAGAATGATAGAAAATTGAAAAAAAAAAACAACTTTCCTGTAATTACACATATCCTCTTAAAAAAAAAAAAAAGCAACTGAGCTTAGAGCTTGAGAGATGCCTGATAGCTTCATACAGAGCAGCATCTCTTTATTACCTGAACTCCGGAGAATTGTGTTGTACTTATTTATGTACAGAAGACACCCGTTTACTTCTCGGGACATTTGACGTCCGAAGACTGCAGAACAGATGCCTCTGAGACAGCAGCAGGCACGTGGACCACGGCGTTTCCAGCCGCGTCTGCACGTCATTTTAGCAAAAACAGGTGAGCGGCGGGCGGGTCCCAGCCAGCTCCGCCCACTGCCGCTCTACAGCCAAAGGGGCGGGGCCCGTGCAGCGCGCCCGAAGGGGTTCGGGCAGAATGAACACTGGCCCAACTGATACAAAATTCGTGGCTCGAATTCGGCCTTGAATTGTAACCTGCTTCAGTGGGACTTGAAGCAGAGGGACGAGGCCGATGATTTATGAGCTTTTGGACAGCCTCTGGTGTGTGCGTTATTTTGATTCAGTGTGAATTACTGAGACTTGCCTGCCGGCTACCCTTTAGGAAAGCTAAGCAGGCACTATGGAATTTCCCTCGCTCCTTAGGAATAAACTGCCTTCTGTTATGCTGTGTTAAGGAAATTCTGAAAAATACTGTGATTTCCTTCCTCCTAAATTTCAGTGACACTAACTGGGGAAAGTGACTTCTAAAATGAACTAAAACTTGGGGGTTAATGGGTTTTGGGGCAGACCTGTGAATTAAAACATGAGTATAGGGATATCTATATTTATATCTATAATAAAATTGCCGAGAACTACACAATGGAGAAATTAAAAACTAGTGTAGATATATTCCTAAATTATCATACTCATGTCTAGACAAAAAAAATTTTAAATTGTAATTTCTTGTGAATTTACACTTGTGATTATACAAATGTAAAAATTAGCAGGTCTTTTAGTATTTCCGGGCTATTTCAGCATAGCCAATTCTTTAGAAAAAAATAGTTTTGCTATTTAGTAACTGATGTGCTACTTATTTTGTTCATCCGTTTTTTTTTTTAAATATATTTTATTGATTTTTTTTACAGAGAGGAAGGGAGAGGGATAGAGTTAGAAACATCGATGAGAGAGAAACATCAATCAGCTGCCTCCTGCACACTCCCTACTGGGGATGTGCCCGCAACCAAGGTACATGCCCTTGACCGGAATCGAACCTGGGACCCTTGAGTCCACAGGCTGACGCTCTATCCACTGAGCCAAACCGGTTAGGGCTCATCCGTTTTTTAAATTAGAGTTAAGACACTGAATTAATGTCTAAAGGCCACGATAGTAGGGGATGTGGGGATGTGAAAGCAGCAAACATGGGTTTGGTACGTGGGCTGGGGCACTGGTGAAGTTTTACACTCCTAACAAGACCTAGTGCTGCCTTTTTAGTAGTAAGTCTGTGCATCTTGGAAACTTTTGCACCTAGAAAAGTGAGGTATTTAGCTACCTCAAAAATGCATCTTAAATAAATGAATGCCTAAGCTTTCTTTATCCACTTAAATGATCAAAATGAGAGTATTATCCATCCTCCAGAAAAATTTAATTGCAATTCTTCAGAACTTAGCTAACAACTAAAATGTCTAAGTTACAGAATAGTATGAAGACTATTTGCCTCCTAAAAAACAAGTGCTAGACAAGAGTTAAGTATGTGCACAAAAATACAATTAGAATGAAGTCTTCAGAAATACCTCTTTAGCCTAGGCTCAGATCCCCCCCCTCCAACCCCCCTTCCCAGCCTCCATGAAAAGTGCCACCTTGTGGAATATACTGGAATAAAACAAGAAAGCTCATCTCTTAGGAGAGTGTGGATTTTAAAAGACCTTGTATCTCTTTTCCCTACAATATTAACTTCCAATTGCTGTAACAGAACTTAAATTGCTGCCTGAAAAAAGCCATTACTTCTTTTCAGGTGGCTCTTGTTTTCTTCTTGAAGGCCAGAGCACCAGTATCAAGGAAACAAGTATGTTGACAGAAGTCTATTCATTTATCTAAATGAACTCCCTGGATTGCTGAGAAATAGCCCATTCATACATCATTAAAAAAACACACACAAACGAAAACAACTAATTGAGAAAATCAGAACCTTCCTCTTTTTGTTGTTTTCCAAAGGTCAGATGATAGAAAAGGCCAAAAGAATATTTTTGGTTTATTTTCTGAAAAAGCAGATGTTAGAAATGCTTGAGATATAGGTATGTAACAAAACTAGTTTGAAAATTGCATTGATAAGAAATGAAAATGCCATTTTCTTATGCTTTTGAGGAAAACACCATTACTAATCTTCTGAGGACTCACATGGCTTGACAGCTTTTTGGTCACCTCAAGAAGTTTCTACACTGCGGAGAAGAAATATGGAACTATCTTCCTATTCATATATCTGCATGCATTAAATGCATATGCACATGGTAAATGGTTTGGGTTTCACAATTATTCAAAAGTCCTGGTGGCATAGGAAGCACATGCCTTTTTAAAATTTACTTTTTTTAAAAGAACAATCTTAGACTTGCCTAACAAGTGTAGCTTCATATGGCTGCTTTTTTCCATGAAATGAGAAAGGAATACAGATGGTTTAGTTTGCTCAGCTCAATTTTTGAAATGGTAATTGTTTGAAATGGCTTTTCCAAGTTCATAGTTGTCAGATGACTTCAATATCAATTCTTACAATGTGTTTGTTAAAATATATGTCCCTCAAAATATATTCCACTTTGAAATATTCTTCTTTAAATACCTTAATTTTCTCTAGAATTTCCTCTATCGATAGCTTGCTCTTTTTTTGATTTTTAAAGAATTAGAAATCATTTAATATCTTTATTTTTATATCACAATGTAAAACATGCATTCTTATGAATTCTAACAATATCTATGAATTGATAACATTTCTGTATTTTCTTGCCAAAGTAAATATTCTATAGTCTCTATATCAACATAATTAAGTAATTCTTGGGGCTTATTAAACTTTTAACATTATTCTTTCTTAGAGCCAAGTATGCAACACAGCCTCCTTTTGGAAAATGTGTGATAACTCTCATATGCTTATCATAAAAATAGTCAAGTTGTCACTTAAAAGAAGCAATTCTTTGGAGAGAAGAAATTTAATATGTTTATATTAGGAAGCTTACATGATTAAATTTCCATGACGGGTAGAAATTGCCGTTACTGACTCTTACTGGCACTACTTTTCAGAGAAGGAGCTATAATTGGTTAAAAGCTCATTTTAAATACATAATTTAAGATTCAAAATGTTTGGTACAATTTAAGTGTTTTTCTCATCATTATGGATAGGACCACATCATGGAGTCAAACTATAAATTTCTCTATTAAAAAGTACACGTTTTCTTTAAAATATTAACATCATGTGCATTCTGAAATATTCATTTTTACTTAAAACTAAAAGGCTGAGATTCTATTCTTAGGTGAATATTTTGAACAATTTTTAGTAAGTCACCTGGGGCTAAACGAAAAGCCTGCCATTCACAGTGCGTGTTTCCTGAGAGAAAATCATGAGAATGAAAGAATCTGAAGTGGCCCAGAGCTTTCTTCCAAAACTGGTTCTTTGCTCCTTGAGTTCCCACCCACTTCAAAGGAGAGATGAAGTGGGAGGCTCCAATGCACCTGATTCTTACAAGCTCTTACAAATTGTGTTTTTAAGGTGATAGAGTCAGGGCTTTATTAACCTTTGCCATGCAACAGCTAACTATTATGACTAAAGGGGCAAGTTTCTTCTTTACTCTTTGTAAATGTACGTTTTAACAAGTCTACCCTGAACAGTTCCCACAATGCCTGGGCTGCCAGGACAGAATATGATATAGAAACTATCATGTACATTCTTGGACCAGTCCTAGAGAGAAATTCAAATGTGATTTCAAATCGCTCATCATATTTCTACTGCTATAAGCTGCTTCCAGGTAACTCTGGGGCAGTCTGACCTTTGCAGCTGACCACTGCCTAGCTTCTGGCAAAGATGTCTGAAAACATATGTCACAGAAGAATGCGCTGCATTCAGTAAATTTGCACTCTGCTATATGCTTCCAAGAACCTAACGGCAAGGGCGCTTGTGTGGGATCTGGATTTCAGACGTGGTGAGCCTGATGGAAATAACAGAAAACAGGAGAGTAATCACTCAAGTGTCACAGCCACAATCATGGAAGAGCTGGGGCAGACTCTTAACAAGTTCAGAGAGGCTGAGATGCCCTCTCATTCTGCCTCGCAGAGGATAATCTGCCAAGGATGTAATACCTTAAAGTTTGTGCTTTAAGTTTTCTTTATACACACTACTGAGAAATGACCCCAAAGCATATGCTAGAAATAAAAGTTGAGCTCTTGTTTAAAATTCTAAAGAATGCTGAAAAAATTCCAGTTTAGAACAGCTGCATTTTTCTAGAGCAAACTTGTGAAAACTTTTGCAAAAGCAAAAACTCAAGTTATGTTCACTCTAGCCATGAATACTAACAGAAAAGCTCATAATCAATCAGTGCAGTGAGTTTTAAAATTCAATTACTAGGCCCCAGCAAAAACATCTTTGTATATTGCTCCCAACCAAAAGAAAAGGCAGAACTCACATTTCCATGGGAGAATGCTAGTCTACCTAGTCCTAAATGCTCTGGATTCATTATATCTCAAGCATTTACAGTGGTGACAAAACATAATGCTGTCACAATGAAGAAAGTGTAAAACATTCTTATGGCCCATCTTCTCATCCGTGTCTTTATTTTATTTATTTTTTAAAAATATATTTTTATTGATTTCAGAGAGGAAGGGACAGGGAGAGATAGAAACATCAATGAAGACAATCATTGATCGGCTGCCTCCTGCACGCCCCCTACTGGGGATCAAGCCTGCAACCTAGGTATGTGCCCTGACCAGGAACGGAACTGTGATCTCCTGGTTCATAGGGCAACACCATATCTTACTTTAGAATAATTTTCCTGCTCTTCAAGTTACTGAATCAGAACACTATTAAAAAAGTGGATTAAAAAAAGAATGGTTCCTGATCCGAAAAACTGTCAAGGAGAAAACTCCCAATTTTTCTCTTGTTCAAGATAGTCACATACAATATTAAGCTGTGAGGAATTCGGTAAGGCTTGACTACACACAAACATCACCTGGAATATTTTCTACTCAGCGAAGCAATGTCCATTCATTGAAAGCTCTAACCCTAAAACATGGTCTAATGGTTGCATGAACTCAAAACATGAGTCAGAAGGCAAAGTAGCTAAAATTCCTCAAACATACTTACTCGGTGTCTTCTGCTTATTAGAGCCAAATGAGCACTCACCACAAATAAGGCAGAGATGGCATGAACTATAAAGTATCTACAGAGAAAATGGCAAGAGGAAGAGTAAAGCTATTCACAATGCCCGAGTCAGGCTGGCTCCGCAGAGAGCAGGAGTGTGCACGAGGCACTGGAAGGGAGCACAGCCTGAAGGAAGGAGGAAAGATTAGAGTAAATATTTCTTTCTAAAAAAAAAAAATAGTTAAAAGATATTCCCTCAGATACTACACTGACAATATACTCCATAAAAACGTAAAACACGAAGTAACAGTTTAAAGCCATCTATGTGCTGGTGATAGAGAAGAACCAGTCTTCCACTCATTGTCTAGGTAACAACGGGGACTGACAGGTAGGAAGATTGCATTAGAATGAGAGCATAGGGACCCTGTTAGGGATCGTGGAATTAGAGCCATAAACCATAATCTGAATCTATTTACGAAAGGTTCATTGAAAGAAAGAAGAAAGTGCATGCAAACAGCTTAAGGAATCTGTCATCCGTAATGTAAGGGTAGTAATATTTATCCGAGGCGCTGGGGGATAGAAAAGATGGATACTTCGCAAACAAGGCAGTGCATTGTAGAAAAAGTACAGTGTCACAGGTGGAAAAATTCAAATGGCATTCCTGTCTCTAGTCAGAGAACTACTCTCTAAACCAAACGAGGAAACAGTTTCTGACAAATTCCTAAAATCCACAACAACAAAGAACCAAAAAGGAAATACATTTCAAACCAGGAAATAAAGGCTTTCTCTATGTTTTGGACCTATTTGAGGTGCATTCCCTAAAACCAAAGCAAGTGAGAAAAAAGCTTATAGGGCATTTTTAAAAAAAGAAACAATAAAGCATTTTATACAGGTTAACATGTACTTAGAATGAGTAAATTCAGCTTTTGGAAGAGTAAATGAAATGTGTGCTTTAAAAAATAGGTCTCTTAAAGATACTAGAATTTTTTTTCCTCTTGGATGTGTGTCTAAAACTTCATCTAGATAGTGAACATTTCACTACTAACAAATTTACTACTTGTGGCCAGAAGAGAAATTCTGAGGACATAGGCTCAACTCTCTAATTTCAGGAGCCCATCCTGGTGAACCACCTTTGGTCCACAGATGCCTGTTATGTACTGGTCACTTTGAATCCCCGGAATTCAATTCTCATCGTTTACAGAGAGTAACACTTTAAGAGATCAAAAATCACACACACACTCACTCTACACGTTCACTCAAAAGTACCAAATCAGGCCCGGCAGCTGCAGGGAGATCCGTCACAATCAGCTGTGCCTGGATTGCTCATTTTACTCTGGCAGCACTCAAGGTTAGAAAAATGAAATGGCAGCACGATTGGTCAGCAGCTTCTCTTCTTCTGGAATTTTTCCAGGGTTTTGACACAGACAGACAGACAAACACACAACGAACGAACATAAAGCTGCAATCGCTCTTGCATTGATTTCAAACAGTAAACTAAGCCGTTTCCTCGGAGAAGCAGAGCCCACCCGGAAGACGGCAGCTAGAAGGTCCCCGGCTGGTGATCTTCCGCAGCTCTGCAGGGGCTGACGCAGGGGGACCCATAAGACACCAGGGGATCCGCTTGAGGCAGCGGCTGGGAGCTCAGGCTATATTCATCTCCGAACTGTTCTGGCTGGGCGGCAGGTGGGAATCCAGGCTCTCCTTGCGCCTCTCCAGGTCGTGGAAGTATGGGTGAGACAGGGCACCGTAGGCAGATATTCTTTTGGCTGGATTAAATGTCAAGCACTTCTGTGATAAAGAAAAAAAAATCGATTGACATGAAACATGTTCCTTTAAAAAAATGTGCTCGGGTAGTTACATCTTCACTACCATGAATTATATGTGTCTCTAATGAGAATGAGTATCTATTTCAAGGGACACTAAGTAAATTGTAGACCAAGCATGTCAAACTCAAAGACTAACATGGGCCAAATAAACAAGGTTTAAGTTTATGTGGGCCGCAAAAAAATAAAAGCTTCAATTTTCATAGAAACGTAGGTTTATTTCGATAGAGACATGCTGAATACAAAGGGCTGAAATGAGTAATCGTTAACATAAAATAATAGAACATTTTAATAAAAATTAGTATTTTTTCTTGAACATTAACTTACCAGACACAGAATAACTGCATAAATTAATAAGCATAACGCAAATAAACCTATGTTTCTTTTCTCTGAAAGTGAAATATTTCCTGTTGCACACACCAAACAAGTCAGTACAGACTAATGACGTGGCAAGCGGCTGCTAAAATATTCGCTGCTAGTATTAGTGGAGAGAAATGGTGCACCTGCGCGTAAGGGAAATATATGAATGCAAAACGATTATAGTAATCAGTCATTAGTGAACATTGTAGTTTGTTATTAATAATTAAGTATAACACGATATTGTAAAAATTAAGTTATGAAATTTTTATTAAAATGTTCCTTACATGCCATTATATTGGCTGGGCCACAAAAATATTTGTTGTGGGCTGTATGCGGCCCGTGGGCCGCGAGTTTGACATGCTTGCTGTAGACAGTTCTCATTTTATATATATCCTTAATGTATAAACTGCCCCTCAGAAAAAGGCAACACCTTTTGGGTTGCCTGTGGACTGTTACTACCCAGAATTTCTCTACAACCCACCCAGGTCCTTTAAAATATATATTATTATTATTATTATTATTATTATTATTATTATTATTGTAGGCATGTCATTTTCTTTAGGTTGTGATTTTTCTAATGCTAGCAAACTTTGTGCCATAGTCAGAGACTTCACCCTATATCTGAAGTCTTCCTACAAGGTTTGTCAATGAGCAGAGAATGGCAAGGTGTTGTTCAAGTGTAAAGGGTAATTACTGAACTGCTCTCCAAACCAAAACAGTTTCTGACAAATTCCTAAAATAAAATACAAAACAAAAAAAACAAACACATGTCAAGCCAGGAAATAAAGGCTTTCTCTATCAAGGAGGAGGCGTGTCAGGCTAAAATCTAGATGCTAATTATCCTAATCTACTAGCCAGCCATGCACCCTGCCCCAGCAGAGGGATGCCTTCCTTCTAATTCACATCAAAGTGCCATATGGGCTAGCAGCATCCCCAGAAGGAATCCGTTAGATTCAATTCAAGTCTCTAAACTCTATTCCAGGCTGTGAACTCAAAGTGCAGGTAGAAAGTGAAAGGAGGATGCCGAAACCGGTTTGGCTCAGTGGATAGAGCGTCGGCCTGCGGACTGAAAGGTCCCAGGTTCGATTCCGGTCAAGGGCATGTACCTGGGTTGCGGGCACATCCCCAGTAGGAGATGTACAGGAGGCAGCTGATCAATGTTTCTCTCTCATCGATGTTTCTAACTCTCTATCTCTCTCCCTTCCTCTCTGTAAAAAATCAATAAAATATATTTAAAAAAAAAAAAAAAAAAAGAAAGTGAAAGGAGGAAAAGGTGAACCCGTGGAGCAGCGATCTCCATCCCCAAACTGTTGATTCCTAATCAATTAGCCAGAAAAGTTCCCTAATCTCAGTCCATTTCCAATCCAACCCCAAGCAATCTTGTTCTTCAAGTCCACACTTTTCCTTCCACCAACACCGCAGGAGTACCCAGCAGGTGGCAAGCATTGCCCTGGGAGTTCACAAGTCGCAGGGAAGCTATAACAGCTTTTCCATCTCTGTGAGGCAAGATGCACTGCAGTGAGCTGGGTATCTGACATGTCTATGTATTTGAGTCTTCTATGTAATCTAAAGACTTAACGTTATTATGGCTATGAAGACCACTTCCGTTTAATCTGGGTTTCTGCTCTTCAGGAGCTCTGTTAAACGTGATTGACATAGGAAACCATGTACACATAGAAAATACTACATATAACTTCAGGCGAATTTTTGAGTCCCCAGAAATCTTGCTTATCCTGAGCTCCCTACCAGTCCATGGGTACTAGCCTCCTCACAGTGTCTTCTGAAAACCAAGAGCAGAAGGACAAGCAGAGGAAGGAGCTCGTTCACAGAACGGTTCTACTGTCTCTAATAGCAACAAGCATTTTGAGAAAAGCTTTACAAGGAAGGGACGAATTCCCAAAGGACAGGAGAGTAGGGGCAAAATTCTTGAGACAGCTCTCTCTTTCCAGAGTCTAAGAAGAAGAAAGTTAGGTAGTGGCATTAGAAAAAGAAGCAGCCAGTTTAATCCCCAGAACATAGAAAAGAAGAAATAAAAAATTGTGGAGCCCAGCCGGTGTGGCTCAATGGTTGAGCATCGACCTATGAATCAAGAGGTCACAGTGCGAGTCTCGGTCAGGGCACATGCCCGGGTTGTGGGCTCGATCTCCAGTGTGGGTTGTGCAGGAGGCAGCCAATCAGTGATGTTTCTATCTCTCCCCCCCTCTCCCTTCCTCTCTGAAATCAATAAAAATATATTTTAAAAAAAGTTGTGGGAATGTGTTCAAGATACAGAGACGTCCCTAGAGGCTCCTCTGGGAGGAAGCCCTGTTCCCACAGTTATACTGATGGCTTAGAGCTGGAAAGAGGGGAGAGAGGAGGAGAATTCCTTAGCCTCATGTGGGGGTGTGTGAGAATTTCAAGTCTTAATACATTATGTCCTATAGAAATAGTGTTGGGAAAGATGGCTAAGATCTATTATTGCTCTACCCCAAATGGCACAACTGGCTGGCCTGAGTATTAAAAAAATCTCATGTCATAATATTGTTTCTGTAAGAACATTTAATTTACTTCCTCAAAACACCGGCTTATGAGTGTTTGAAATTACAACTTACTTAAGAGGATCTGCACTTTTCCAGCATATATTCCCTTTCTTCCCTTCCCTCCCTCCACGGTGAGAGCATTCTTTCCTCTCCCAAGGTTGGCCTTGGCCATGGAACTTGCTCTGGCCAGTGGAATGAGGACAGAAGGAGCAGGGAGGCTTTCCGAGCCTAGGCCTTCAGGGCCTTCTCATGCTTCTGCTTGCCCTTTTGGGAGCATCCACCTTCTCCCAGGAGAAAAACATGCTCCAAGGAGCTGAAGCCTCTCTGGCCTGGGCCCCAGAATAAGGCTCATGGAAAGGCCTGTACTTGACCTGAAGGCAGGAGGAGAGCTGCCTTGCCAATCTGCAGACCCATGAGCAAGGAAGAAATGCTCACTGTTATATGCTAGTATTTTTTTGTTTTGTTATTTGTTATGCAGCAAAAGCAGACTAAAGACAATGACAGAAAAAAAAAGTGCCTCAGGCTCTGAAAACAGTTAGATAGCAGAAACTCCAACATTTTTTTTTTCAGCAAAAGCATCATATTTGGAATAAGTATTTAGCCTCCCAAGTTAACCATAACCAAGGGGACAAAACTCGAAAAGATGTGTCGATTTCAGTTGTTAAAAATAATTTCCCCCTGCATTGTCTTATATACAGGGGTGGGGAAAAGTAGGTCTACAGTTGCTCATATGGAAAAAGACATGCAGGTTATGATGACAATAGCTTTACTAACTCAAAAGAATGTCACTCACAACTCAAACGTGTTTTCGCCCACCCTTTTATGTATATAAGAGCATTTATAAATGTTGTATACATGTCCATACATATATGACTGAGGCATGATATAAAGTCAACCTTTTTTTCCCAGATGAAAATGAAGAATAATTTAACATGCTAAACTTCCAAATGTTAACCGTTTCTTAAATAACACAAACTTTCTAACACAGTCTTCACTTTTCCTAGTAAATGATTTCCAATAGAGGCAATGGGTGTTGTTGGGGGCACGGCTGCCTATCTTGCACCAAGTGGCCCATCTTCTGCTTTCTAGTTCTAGCCTGGGTCCTCCCAGCAGCTTCAGACAGTTCTGAGCTGTGTGGTTTCGGGCTGTCCTTTCCCTGAACGCCTGTGGATATTATGCTTTATGCCTAAGTTTCCCCTAGTCCCGATGTCACTGGTTCTGCTTCTTATTCCTCAACTTGCTTCTTCCTTCTCTCTTTGGTACGTGTCTTTGTTCATTTTTCTTCTTTGTCTCCTGCTGCTTTCCCAGTCTAGCACTAGTGTGTTGTCTGACTTTGAAAGCCACCACTGCTAGGGGGGCACCCTAAATGAGCAGGTGACACTGTCTGTCATTCAAAGTTCCTGCTGAAAAGGAAAGCCTATGGTGGCCGTATTTTATACACCACAATCCCTACCCCTTCCCAGCACAGCTGACGGGACCAGCAGCCTGGCAAAGAGGTAAGGTATGTCAGTCAGATTCTTTCTTCCTTTTCGGAATCTGATGTAGGAAATACTGACAGGGCAAATGCTAGCAGTGGGGGTTACAGCTGGAAGAATCCATGAGTTATTTGAAGTTCTGATAGTCAAAGGACCAGACAGTGCAACTGAAAAGAATCTATGAGGTGGAGAAAAGGCATTCGGGGCAGAGAAAAGCAGAGGTGCCAAGAGCAGGTGATGCACAGGACAGAGACAGAGCACTTATACTCTGAATGGCTTCCCATTTCCAGGCCACATGAAACAGCCCATCAAACCCCCTTTTCTTAAGGTAATGTCAGTACTTGCCTGTGTTATTGAAATCAAGCAAAAATTGTCTTAAATAGCAGATGAGTCGGCAAGTCTGTATATATTGTGAGAATTTGTCTAGGCAAATATTCTGACTTCTAATTAATTTATTTCAAAGGATACAGGCCGTAGGAATAAACAGTGGGGAGGAAGTTTAGCTGTCCTTATTCGTAACTTGGCAGTGGAGGGAACCATTGCCTAAGCATCAGAAAATGAGCCACCATCAGGGGAAGATGGAGTGAGTTTCTACTGGGAACATCAATGGCTCTGCAGACATGCCAACCACTGGCTGTGCCCACCCAGAGCTGAAGCACAACATTTCTACTAAGACCTATAGACTCTGCCCTAACCGGTTTGGCTCAGTGGATAGAGCGTCAGCCTGTGGACTGAAGGGTCCCAGGTTCGATTCCGGTCAAGGGCATGTACCTTGGTTGAGGGCACATCCCCAGTGGGAGGTGTGCGGGAGGCAGCTGATCAATGTTTCTCTCCCATCGATGTTTCTTAACTCTCTATCCTTCTCCCTTCCTCTCTGTAAAAAATCAATAAAATATATTAAAAAAAAAAAAGACCTATAGACTCTTACGTCTGTATCTGAAATTCAGAATACCCTACAGAACGGGAGCACTGACTCCTTCCGGTCTAGGTATGGGAAGGAGAGCTGCAGAGAGATTGCGGCTCATGCCTTTGTGGCACGTGATGCTGAACTGATGCTGTTCCCACCACCTGGAGAGGACAGGGCAAGTCTCTCATCAGCACAGTGCAGGTCAACTCTGCATCGCCTGAACTTACCAGAAGGAGGTCTTTGCCTTGTTCATCAATGTCGCTTACAAAGTTCTCAATAGGTTGAGGAGATTTTGAGTGAAAAGCCTGCCTGGGAAGGGCCACATCTCTAGGCCAGTCCTCTTCTCCTGGGAGTCCAATTACGCTACAAAAGAAAACCACATGTGAACATCAGCATCTGCTGCTACGCAGAAGCTATTTTCCCACCAAATTCTAGACGAAGGTAAAGTCTAAGGGGCAGGCACGGGGGGCACAGAGCCCTGGAGCCCCTCACTTGTATGACTGGCAGGATGCTCATTTCTCTCTGTTCAGCTGCAATACGGTGATCATGGGTAGAGGGTAATCTCACAGGAGAATTGTAAAATTCGCTGGGAAGAGATAAGAGATTCCTCTGGAAGCAGACAGTAAACAGAAGAGATAATGAAGAAATGGAAAATATTCTATTACCAATAAGCCCTGACATACTGACAGGGCAGGACCTATATATTAAAAGTAGACCCACATGGGCACAGAACATTTTCCTTTATGCCTAAGATTGCTTTTTGTGTTCTGATCAAGCACTTTGGTATCGACCTGCTTTTATGATGCTCATGTAGCATCATTTCTTAACACATAATCTTGGTTAAAGATTAACTCCCCAACTACATCCATTAGAATCAGACAAAAAGAAGAGGCTGAAAGGTATGTTCGTCCTGTGTTATGCAAACACTATTTTATAATTTAACATCAAAATTAATTTATATGTTTTTATTGCATAACTACTTCAAGGTATTCCAAAGTGAGCAAATAAATAAAAACAGTATTCATTTATGTTTTCCCTGAAAATGATTCTGAGTCCAGAAATGTGGACAGAGCATCAAATAATGTAAAAACAACACAGGCTTTGGAAATAGGCAGATCTGGGTTCAAATTCTACACCTGCCACTTATGGATAGGTACGGAGAAATTGCTTAACTTCTATGAATTTCAGTGTCTTTTTTATACAATGAGTACTTGTCAACATCAATACATTACCCATTATTACTATCCATAAGAGGGAACATTAATCTAAAATGTGTTGGCACTACCACCTTAACATAGGAACTGCTTGAGTTCTAGCAACGCATAATTTAAGGTTCTTCAGAAATATTGTAGATCAGTGGCTTTAAACAACATAATATACATTATGTAGATCTTATTTATAGTGTTTATATAGGCAGTTAAGTAGATTTGAACAAAGGAAATCAGGGGATGCAAAAACTTATGTCTCACATAGACTGATTAATTCTAAACGAAAAAATTATAATTTAGTGAACAGAATCTATGACTATTCAAATACTGACAAACGATTTAAACTACAGTTAGAAATGCTGCTGGCCTGCCTGCATAGGGTCTTCTTGGCCTGCCCTCGCTGGGACTAAGGCCCAGAGGGGTGAGTTCTGAATGGATTTCAAAGTTTCAGGAAGATGTGGTGCTAAATGTCATAGGATCTCTATAGGGCTTTGTTCCCCTTCTCTCACCTAAATGAAGCCCAGGTCCTAGACTTCCCCTGGGGAGAGCAGACAGTGTGTCATAACTGTACTCATCGGCGGGCGTCTGGGCAAAGACAATCCTGCCTCTGTAGGATATGCTGGGAGAGCTATGTTATCGAGGCAGATAAAGACAGAGTCAGGGACATATTTACTGGAACAAATGAATGGAAATAGCAACTATACAAAATTTGCTTAATAGCAAGATCTAGAATAAGAGTACAAAGAAGAAAAACACCTCACTACAAATTATTAAAGAAAATAAATATGTATGAGAATGGGAGAGGAAGAAAAGAAGAATGCTTATTAAAGAACTTCAAAATTTTCCTTTCATTCACTTTTATTTTTTAGCCATTTTTATATTAATATATTTGCATACCAGCACCAGTCAGTTACCTAGAAACTGGTTACAACAACTATTAGTAATAATTTAAAATCTTTTTATTTGCAGCTTTCAATATATTTATATTGAGTTAAATCTGGCAATATGGGCAGCTGAATGCCAAAAGCCCTCCGAAAAATAGGGACTCTGTATGTATATGTAGTATATAATTATATACATGTTTACATAAATAACTTTTAAAAGTGTTTGTAAGTTTATCACCTCCCCTGATGCCTCTAACAACCTCCCATGACATGTATTACCACTACTATTCAGGTATTACTATTTCTGTTTTATAGATGGGGAAACTGAGTTACAGGAATGAAATAGACTGCTAAAGCCACATATAGTGAGTTTAGCCACAGAGCCTGGAGTGAACCCAATTCTCCTTATTCCAAACCCAATATTTTGGTTCTAGTTAACGATGACTCTGGTCTTAAAAATGCTCCAAAATGCCACAGGCGAAAAGCATTCAGTTTCACTTTCAAAGTACTTGCTGTTCTTTGAAAGTATAAATCTTCCTAAACACCAACATTTTTCCCCCCTTGAAGAGAATGTGAATATAACTTTCTTTAAAAATTCAGTTTCATACAGTATGAGCTTTTATGGCCCATATGTGAGTGTGGTGAAATTCCGATAGGCCCGTTAAAAAGTGCCTGCATCAAATTTCAGTATTTGGACAGCTGAATATAAGCCTTAAAAGTTGACATTTGTACCAGAAAGAATGACAGAGCACAAAACCTCTAATTGGCAGTGAAGGTGGGGACAGAAATCATTTTTCAAGTACTTGAGAAGTGACACTAGGGTGCAGTATTGTCCCTTTTCTCTACGCCAAAGTAATAACTGCAGTTAGAGGAAACAACGAAGAAGTAAAACCTAAGAGTATAGAACATGTAGGACTTCATGGCTTTTTTCTGCTTGCAACCTAGGATCTCAGGCCTTTGCCAAAGGTGGAACCGGCTTTCCCATGGAAGCAAGTCAAACAGGCTGAGCAAAGGTTGCTCCTGGTCCATCTCATTGGCTACGTTATACTCAGGGGCACCAACAATGTTAACAAGATCGCAGACATCAGTGCTGGAGGTAGCCCAGGTGCCCAGGTGGTGTCAGTAGGGAAAGCAGGTGAAGGGCTTCACTGCCTGGCAAGCTGCTTTCCTTCCCACAGAGGGTCTGACTTTCCCACGTCCCTCTTAAAAATCACATACACACCAACTATATTCAACAGTGATGGGAAGAGTAGATGGAGTTCATCACTCAATGACAAAGAACTGGACATTCAGAAGCCAGTTCTGTCCTGCACCACCCATCGTACAAAGTGTTCAGAAGCAGCAGTAGGAGCAGCAGCTGTGGCAGTTGCCTTGGACCCAGGCAGCCACCGACAATAAAACGAGCAAATGTTTTTCAGACCTCAAAGCCACCGGGTCCTGACTCAGCAGTGGCACTGGTGCTAACAGATGTCTACGGGAGCTGTTTCCAGTTACCCAAAGAACAAAGTCAGGTTCCGGTTGTGTTCCAACTGTTTTAAGCAGTCATGCTTGGATAGATGGGGTTAAAATAGAATCCTTTTCTCCAGGGGTACTTCTCCCCAGTTTTACAGGCTATAAATATCATAAAAATCACCAGGATTCCTAGAAAATGTCAAAGACCAATGATCAGGGCTTTTTTATGTGTTCTACAACTCCCACTTTCTTCCTACTCCACCCCAATTTTGATGGGACTTGGCAAATGCACAAATCCCCAAAGGATGCCATACTGCATGCTTTGTGAGAAGAAAAGCACCCCCCTTTTTACATTCTAGATACATGAAAGCATCCATACCTTCACATGCACACATGCAGACATGAATGGAACTCTGCAAATCAGCGAGGAGCTATGTAACAGACAACTGGAACCAAGGAATTGAAGCACAAGAAGGGAACGTAAAGAAAATTTAAGCCCAAAGTTTCATTTCTCAGGTAAAGAAGTTGAGGAACAAAATGGTTAAACAATTAATAACGAATGATAAAAACAGCTAACATTTTAAAAGCATTTACTACGTAGCAGGCACCGTGGAAGCTCTTTTTAGGGTATGTTAAATGACTTACTCACGATTACAGTTATTTAGCCACAGACATAGGATTAGAACCTAGGATTCTCATTTCCTATCGCAGTGCTCCAAAGAAAAATGGATTGTGTCGCCCACCATTCTTCGTCAGGAAAATAATGCCAAACCAACCTGGATGACTAAAGGATACTCAATGGGGACAGGAAGCCCAGTGGGCAAGGATGGGTTACCAGGCCACCAAGCAACCTACTTCTGATGGTGGATGCATCTGAAATGACCCCAGGCAGGCAACACACCTGAACTAAAGAACAGGAGGTCAGCCAAGCAAAGAAAGAGGAGCAGTGCAACAATCCACACGAGCAACATACAAGCCTCCAGAGCAGAGCGGTCAGGCCACCCGTCATGACGGGCTCTGCATAAAACAGCAGGTCTACCGTGTCCCCACTCACCACACAAATAGTAACACTGTCTGCGGCAGCAGCTTGGGGCAGGAAAGACAAGAGATAAACGCATTATGTGAACGTCAGAGGAAAGTCACCGTGAATGTTCTAATGCTACGGGCACTGGTGTAAAATTACAGTTATTACTTACTCCAAGATTTTTCCTAGTTGATCCACATCTGAACTTCCACGAAAAAGAGGCCTACAAGAATAAAGATACATATTAAACATACGAATTTTCTCAGGTTCATTTCAATCATAGTTGTCATCATTGTTTAACAAGAAACAAAATATTCTGTAAGGGTGGGGAAGTAAGGAATCGAGACATTTCTTGAATGTCACTTACGGCAAGAACCTCTCATGAATAACTGGTGGTGCCCGGTGGCCATGTTTCATAATCATGACAATCCTACTCACGGTCACTGGAACAGCAGTGCCACCATCACACACAGGCCTTGGCTGCAAAGTTCCACTTAACTCTATGATAGGTGGAGCAGGTCACTGTCCTACTCTCAAACCAGGGGTATGTGGTGTTCTTTCCAACTGATTTTGGTCAGATCCTCCTCAGAGCAGCCTTTCCTCACCACTAGGCAGGCAATCATAATACTTCCTCGTGAGTCTCTCTCCTTCCACTTGTCCCACATGCTGTGGTGAGCTACCTCTGGGTTGCTGATTGTACCACTTCCCTTTCTCCCAATATTATGGCAGATGAGCATTACAAGTTCAAAACCCTAACTCTGGACTTCAGAGGTGTTTGTGAACACACAGCCCCCATTGCCTACACTGAGCATTTCACTGGCTGTGCCTGGTCAGCAAGCCCAGAGAGAACAGAGAGCACCAGTTCAATCTGATGAGCTCGTAGAGTAGCTTTGTCACCATGCCAGCGGCGCCCCCCCCCCACCCCCCTATGAAGACGTATCCACAGAGGCATGGGTGAAACTACCTTTGAGCATCATGGAGGAATCTAAAGTACATACTATATTAGCCATGGCTCTTGGGAAGCACACCAGGCAGAACAATCTGAATGAATGTCATTCCTGGGCAAAGGCATTAGACCTTCTCTTTCCTGGGTGGACACGGAAACCCAAGCCTGAAGCTCAGCAGCAGCCCTGGCTCACACCCTCACTCTTTTAGTTTCCAGCTCCCTTTTGTTTTTGCCCCTTGACAATATTTCTAATATTTTTTGCTGGTTCCATTATGCATTTAAGCAAATGCTTGCTACATTTTTTTTTTTTTTTACTTCTGCCTAGATGTTTTAGCAGAGAACTTTCAAGTCATGTAGTCCCCCATGCTGCCAGGGCCGGAGGTGCTTGCCATCCAGGAATGAGAGCTGGCCCACCAGCATGGCCTCCTTTAATACAGAGAGCGGCAAGTGAAAGTCTGACTCATAACCACGCTTTTGTGAATACTTAGCAAAACCTGCTATGGGAATACAAGACGTGGAGGCAGCAATTCAGCGTACAGATCAGAACGACTTTTGCCACCTGAGGAAGATCTGGCATGTGACTCTGAGGTCTGATAACTTGGCTTTGTAGCACATGTGGGTTGGCTTGACTTATATAAAACCACTGAACTCTGGCTAAAATTAACCCCTAAAGAATGGATCTTTGCATGTAAACAACACAGTCACAAGACAATGGAAATGGGGCAGAGGCCAAACTGGAACCAGGATTCTCACCTGACCCAGTAGTTGGACACAAACGTGATCAAACTCCAAGAACCACCTACTGACTTCCTGGCTGAGAATTCTGAATATTTTGTATGAGCCAGTTTTATGAAAGAGGGTCAGGAACATGGAAAGGTATAATGGATTCAGAGGAAGGATGAAACCTTCCAACAGGATGAACTCTTGGGTGTGCTAGGGTGGAGTATGAAGAAGTGAGAGTAAGACTGCTCCAGGGGCTGTGTGTGACACATTCTGTTTTGAAATAGGGCTCTGAGGGAAAAAGTCTGGCTGCATCAGGTCTCTGAGCTGTGTGCACCACGTAATGAAGAAACAAGGGCTGTATTTTCATTGATATTATTTTGAATATTTCCTCCTTCCTCAGGTTAGCTGAGTTAAATATCCTTTAATTCATATAATTTATGGTATACTTCAGGTGGACAAATATGAACATAATCTTTGATTATATTCTTTTTTTTACATATTTTTATTGATTTCAGAGAGAAAGGGAGAGGGAGACACAGAAACATCAATGATGAGAGAGAATCACTGATTGGCTGCCTCCTGCACGTCCCCTATTGGGGATCGAGCCTGCAACCTGGGCATGTGCCCTTGACCAGAATCGAACCCGGGACCCTTTAGTCCGCAGGCCGATGCTCTATACTCTGAGCCAAACCGGCCAGGGCTGATTATATTCTTTGGGTAGTGGTGAGAACAGTTCTACTGCCTTGAATAATTTTATAATTGTGAGAATGATTCAGCTAAAGCACACACATGCATGAGTTGGTCTTGGCTGGTAATTACCATGACATAGAGCTGAGCTGGAAGGAAGTAGAGGGTTGAAGGAGCCAAGTTGGGGGGGGGGCATGGGGAGGCGAATAAAAGACAGTGAAAGACTGAGACTGAGAGAGAGAGATGGCCAGATAGAGAGACAAGCTGAGGAGGTCCAAAATAACTCTGAACTGTTTCTTCCCCCTGTCTAAAATGTGCCCCTGCTGGAAATCTTTCTAGAGGCCCTGCATGAAGACTGAAGACGGGAGAGGAATGTTCAATTACATACCACGAGACAGAGGCTCATAAAAGATAAAAAGCCATGCATTTTTTCCAAATCATTGCAGGGAAAGAATCCACTAAGCTATCCCATCTTGTCTGGTTTTAGACATAAACCTCCTCACAGGTGACACACTCACTAATTCTTTTTAACTAATTATATAAAGATAAAATTAGCAATAGAGATATTCTACCCAGAGTAGTAAATTTGAAGCCTATTTTTACTGTTTTAAAAAATATTTCTTCCTTATATACACACTTTCTTTTAGGGGGTGGGGGAGGGGTTCAATAATGAAATGGAAAGATTACACCTACCAAAAAACATTCCCAAATAAAGACTGTGCAATTGCTTTGACTGGAGAAACACATTAAAAATCCTTTTATTATACAGGACAAGACTTAAAAGTCAGGAACTTTTGTGCATTTTGCTATATCAAAAACTACAATTACTTACTATAAATGACTTTCCAGTAGTTTAACCAAATGCTTGGGTAATGGTACACAAACATTATCTGATAAAGACCTTTGTTGAATCTAAATGTCATGAATCTCACTTCTAATTTTATACCTCCATTTCTTTTCTGTTCACCTCACTATGGTCCTCCTTTTTCTATGGAAGATTTTCTCCACACTCACTCTTTGAGGCTGTTCCATTCTATCGCATTAACCCCCGCCCCGCCCCCCCCCCCCCCTTCTGTCTTTCATGGCCCCGAGCCTCTTTCTATTTGGAATTCTCACATAAACTACAGAGGAACCTACTGGAAGGTCTTTACCATCCTACCCTTTGAAAGCAATTTATTTGACAAAATAAACAATATTTGGGGGAAAATACCTGAAATTGAACATTGCTATAAGTTTTTATGAAAGAGAATTTTAGGTTATTTCCAAGCATTTTCCTCAAGTATTTTCCTTCACCATTATACGTGATACTAGTTAATGCTGATAAGATAAACTCTATGAAAGAAATACATTTTTCATTTATACATATAAGCATTTTTCCTAACTAAAAGGGGATTATTGTAAAATATAATAGCAAGATCGCATTCATTTCAAACTATAGCAAAGTCAATTCTCTTCTCAGATCACCTTAGGCACAGTCATGCCAAAACAAGTATGGTGATTGGGGGTTTTTAGCAAGGATTTCCCCCATGGCTTTTTTGAATTTGTGAGAGTTTATAAGCCTTAATGTTTTCCATGCCTTTAATATGCTGATTTTTTTAGGATATTTGTTGACTTGGGGAAGGGCATACACTTTGGTGATGGACATCCTGTGTGTGAACCCCTTCCAGCCAGTTCTCCCTGGAGGATGTTAGGAAAGTCTCGTAGCCTCTTTGAACATATCTGCTTCACCTGTAAAATGTCCAGTTTACAGTAGACCTACTAGCAAGTGGCAACCAAATACCCACACACTTTTTCACACTCATACATGGTAGGTATCTCCTTTGTTCCTGGCCACCGTTATACACAGATGATAACGTAAAGTTTTCATGTGGTGAACAAGAAAGGAAGGGGCCATTAGTCACCATATGGTGGGTGTCCAAGTCATATTCAAGACTTCCTCTGAGCTCACTATATATTCTCTGCACCTGTTACAAGTCCTACACCTTTATCACCAAGAAAAGAAAAAATGTCAAAATTTCCAAGAAGGATTAATTAATTTTGAATTGGCAGTCTAACTTTTTCTTCTGCATGTTATTTAGCTAAAAACTCTTTTATCAGTGAAGAGAATTTTCAAATTACAAAGGAACTAAGTTTCAGATGACATGGCTTTCTAAACAAACAACAAAAAGAACATATAACTATCCCTCACAATCTCAATAAACAGTGGAAAACAACATTCAGAAGCAGGGTATGTTTTCTAGCAGATGAGAAGTATATGCTGATGTGTCTGTTATAGAAAGGAAATGATTCATGCAGAATGGAAGATGACAGATTCCGTATAGTTATAATACTTTCATTGTACTGAGAAGAAGAGGAAGTCACAGATCACCCTATAGAACACCTCTGTAACTTGCACTTGACCTGCAGCTATGTTTTAGCTGTTATGTTTCTTGATTAGAAGAGGAATTTTCCATATTCATAAAATGACCTTTTGAAAAATATGACCTAGGGCAGTGGTCGCCAAACTCATTAGTCAACCGAGCCAAATATCAACAGTACAACGATTGAAATTTCTTTTGAGAGCCAAATTTTTTAAACTTAAACTATATAGGTAGGTACACTGTTATTAACTTAATTAGGGTACTCCTAAGCTGGCCTTTGCTAAAAACGTCCTCAATCTGAGGGGTCGACCTCAGCGAACGTACCCCCACTTCTCCTAACGCCACTTCTTCAAAATAGACTCGCCCAGGCAGAAAACCGACTTTTGCGCATGGGCCACTAAGTTTCAATCGCACTGTACGTGCGCGCCCGCACGTGGTATTTTGTGGAAGAGCCACACTCAAGGGGCCAAAGAGTCGCACGTGGCACGCGAGCCGCGGTTTGCTGAC